ACCAATGTCGGCCCACTAGATTATTTATCCTGGTCAGGATAGTGATATGATAGTTTGTAGCTGTTCAGTAGATCTGTATGATTATCTGTACTTGCTGGCTCTGTGTTTTTGTTTATTTGTTGCATATGTTGTCTTGTTGTGTTGGGTTGAGGCGGTCCTGATTTATGTTATAGGCCAAGACATCCGAGGACGATCGGAAAGGCTATAAGCCCTGCGAGGCGGTCCAGTCAGGCCGACGGCCCGTGGAGCGGTCCGGATAGGCTGTAGGAACTATAAGGCGTTCTAATCATGTTGAAGGCTCGTAGAGCAGTCCAGATAGGTTGTAGGCCCTGCGAGGCGGTCCAGTCAAGCTGGCTGCTCATATTGTATGTTTGTTTGTTGTGGTGTGCTGGTATGTCACAACCCCAAACCGGAACGACGGAAACGTTCGGGGGCAGAGGACGTCATGTACAGTATCACAACAATTGCAAAATAGTAATCAAAGCAAACACAACCATTACATTGATTGAATATAGTATTTACATATGTTCAATACATAGTTTGTATGACATCAAAAATGTATAACAAAAGTATAAAAGACGTGACTCTAAAAGCTCCGTCTTCTCAAAACCTGCGGGTGTACCTGTCTACCGGTTCCATAAGAATGCAAGTGGTTTTGAAAGTGTATCAACATTTAAGTTGGTGAGTTCATAAGTATGTTTTTGTAATGGAAACTTGTCGATGATCTTTGAAAAATGCTCGTATGTGTTCCTCAAGAAAATCCAATATTTTCTTTAGTAGTGAAAAGTAGTCTTAGGCCTTAAGACCAAAATGTACGTTTGTTATGTATTTTGTAATAGTATAACATAGAGGTGTTTCTTATGAAACCCTTGTATGAAAACATTTGTATGTATTCCTGGTCACTACTAGCTGTAATGTATAATAGTGTACTGTATGAAAACATGTGTATGAATCCCTTGATACCACCAGTAGTAATGTATAGTGCTGTACTGTAGTTTCATTAATTAAAATAAAACCGTTTGTTTGTAATCCCTGGATTCCTCCAGTTGTAATGTAGTGTAGTTTTATTATTTAAAATAAAACCGTTCGAAGAAATGAAATCCCGTAAACAAATGTTTTAGTTTATACTGTTGTGAGTTTCGTATAACCATGCTTGATATGGCCTAGTGACCTCTACGACATTCTTCAGGCGTCGGAAACGTTATGACATTTGTCACCCCAGGCCTGCCGACCTAACTATAGCTAGCAGTTCAGGTGTGGGATTGTCAGTCCCGTATAGATCTATACACAAATCTCACGCTCTCCCTCCAGGAGACTCTGGTTATATTGTATAGGATTTAGTTCCGTACCCTGATGGATACAATTGAAGTAGTGCCTCACAACCCTGTATTAACTAGTTTACGTGTAGTGTTTTAGTGTTCTCTTGTACTTGAAAATGTATGTATAACCTTGTAATAGTGTACTTTGTAAAGTAAAATAATTATGCTTAAATAATTATTTAGTAATGCATCCTTATATCAGGAATATAATGTAGTGTTCCATAAACTATATCTACCATAGTTTACATGTTATTTCTGAACTATTAAAATAGTGTATTGTATCCCAAACTATACCTATTATAGTTTGTATGTATGTTCTTGTTTCGTGTATTGTACTTGGTAAAAGTAGTGTAGTGTTCCCAAACTATACCAATTATAGTTCAATGTATGAGCTGTATTATACTGAAAGCTTTTTCAATTTAGTTGTATGAAGGAAAACACCCTTATGCTCGACATGGTACAAAAGGGTTTAAATATATGAATATATTTGTAAAATGTAGTGAAATCTCTGTTTGAATCAATTGCAAAGGTTTTGGAACTGTTTGAAATCGTTTGCATAAAAACACAGAAATCATTGTGTTTTAATTGTATTCCCCCCCCCTAAAATATTGAAAACAGTAAAGTGTAGGGGTACGAACTCACTTTTAGTATGTGCTCGTAACTGGATAGCGGACTGTAGAGATGACCCTTGAGTTGGCGTACGCAGAACTAACAATATCCTAATAATATTTAAACACATAATTGTATTTAAATTAGCGAAGCCATTAATTAAAGTGTTAGAAAACACTTGTTTTGTGTTGAGGGTAATTAGCGAAAATTGCACAAGTGTTGAGGAGTTTTCAATTCTAGGGGTTCTCGGCCGAAAACGGGTTGCGGTCCTGAGCTGTTTTCGGGCACTTGAAAATTCGAAGGCTGTTCTTGGTGTTCTTGGTGAAAAATATGAAGATTCGAAGGATTGTTCTTGAAGGTATGAATGTTCTTGGATGATACTTGAGAGAGAATTGGGAGTGTTTTCGAGTGAAAAAGTGAGAAAATGACTAAGTTTTCGGATGAAACAAATATATCTGGTTGAGTTTTCGGCCGGAAATTGGTTCTCGGCTGAAAATGGTTTGTTGTCCGAGGGTTTTCGGCCGAAAAACGGAAAAGATGTTGATTTTCGAGTGTTTTTGATCCCGAAAACTTATCTAAACATTATTTGTATAATTTAAATTATTTTCTAACCCTCACGGACTTACGAAATAAATAAAGCTCGAAATTTTATTCATCGGATTTCACTTTTGTTGACCTGAAAAGTAACGGGTTGTTACATGGTACTTTGGGGGAACTCACTAAGCTTTGGCTTACAGTTTTTAGTTTATCATTTCAGGTACTTCAGAGGATTGTGGGAAGGCAAAGGCGTGATCGTACACAACTTCATGTTTTTATGTTTCTGAGTCTTGGGAAAACTATGATTTGAAATAATGCTTTTGAAACAATAACTCTTTTTGTAAACAATATTGGTTCATGGTTGGTTTTTGAAAATTTTAAATTTATTGTGATTTTTGGAGTGTTACAAAGGCTTAAATAATTGATTTACCTTTCTATAAAACCACCATTACTGATATTGCCATATTTATACAAATTTTTAGGCAATATTTTAATACATTTTAAGTAATATTTTGGTTAATTGCAAAGACATATGATACTTATTGAATTAAATTGTATTTTGCATCCAATAAAGACACTCTTGAAGAATAAAGACCAGAAGTGACAAGTATTAGAACTTTGGAGGATTGGAGCTTAAAAGAAGAAGATATTAGCTAAAAAAACCAATTCAGGACATGACAACCCAAGGTCACGCCGTGATGTGTGAAATTCTAGAAGATTACTGCGCGGAAGTCAGAATCCTTGCTCAATACGGATAGACACCCAGCTCACGACGTGAAACTCTATTTCACGACATGAGCCACAAATTTCCAAAACTATATAAACTCCTTTGCATTATTGATTAAGAGAGCTTTTGGGAGGAGAGATAGTCTAAGATATTCAATTTTAGAAGTCAGAGAGTGCGAAAATCATACCTAGGAAGGAGGAATTGAAGATCAACTCATCACATTTGGTTTGCTTATTCGAATCATGTCTATTATTATTGAATTTGTGTGCTTAATTTCAGTCATGAGTAGCTAAACTCGTTTGCTTTCGTTTAACTAGATGAAACCTTGGATCTATGGCTTAGTTTATTAATGTATGGATTTTATAAGTTGGTTTTGTGCATGTGTTTGATTATCATTACCTAGCATGTTAAAATTTGTGACTTTGTTGCTTTAATTCAAGTTAAGTGTAGCTTAGTGACCATTAAATTACATGAACTAGCTTACCTAGTGATTTAGTGACTATTAAATTTCTAGAGCTAGGAGTGACCACATCTAGATCAAGTGATAAAAGTAACAAATTTAGTTGTGCTGGAGAACATAATTGTGACCATAATTGTGTTTTATTAGATAAATCTTACATAGCCCATCTATAATTAATAACTAATTCTGTGTTTGCTTGTGTATGACCATACATGGTAGTACATAAATTGGTGAAAATATTAGTGAAATTTGGACTCAAAATGATATTCTCTAAATATTATTAAAAGAGAACCTTAAATTCTAATCTTAAGAAATCAGGGCCATTCATTACATTTGAATCCTTAATTTTTCACCATTGGATTGTTTGCCGAATTCATCCTTATTACTCAAACACCGTTACATGCTTCTCTCTTCTTTCCTTCGTCATCTACCCTCTTTCTCTCTCAATTGTAACCTAATCATTCCTTTTTACTTCAATCATGCCATGAAATTTATCCCTAATTCGTATCTACCTCGCCTCTTCAAACGCCTCCAGGAATACAGTTATTTCGTCTTGATTTTACTCCCAAATTCAAAATTTCTTTTCTTCCAATAGTGCATTTGTTTAATCAATTTTTGTTCTTCATCGTTTTGTTATTCCTTTTTTTCTTTTGATAGATCCTTTTCAATATCAATTTCATTGTTAGAATTCCTCATCCGATTTTCCCCTTTTGACAGATCCGATTTTACGCAGAAAAATTTATGTGTTCAATTGATTTTCAGGTTGAACAAATGAGCGAGTTGGGACGTTACATTTGTAAATACTTTCATATAACAAGCGGAACCCAAATCATTCCAAACATCGATAGAACATTAAAGCTGAAATATTTTGTGTGCTTATTCGGCAGATCAATTTTAGGTAGAAGCTTGTCACCAAGGATGATTAGGTCGATTAGTAATACAACCCTGCAACGAATCGACTAGGGACATGCATGTAATTTTACATTTATATCATAATCAATTTTCTTTCCACAACTTCTTATCTTCTTCTCCAAAATCCAAATCTAATTATTTTGATATCAAAATAATCAGACAGTCATACTTATAATAATCAACTTTAAAGATCTTATCCAAATTTGATGAGATTTGGATCAAGTGGTGACCATAATCAGACATTTTCTTCTCTACTGGACTATATAGAACTTGAGACCTTGTAATTGGTCTTTGCAAAATAGCTTTTGGAGACACTGAAACATACAAAACCATGTAACACATATTTAAAACAATAACTAAATGCTTTATATTTGGATCATACTGTTATAAGTAGAAATAGTAAGTCTTACAGTCAGAAGCTGCAAAGGAGTGCAAGATGATTTTGGACATAGTTGAATCAGCATTACCTAACCATAGAACATTTCAACCATCTGGATTATTTGCAGCTCGGGTTGATATGCAAGGGTCTACCCCGGTATGATATTTTTGATGCTAAATTGTTGCTTAGAAGTTAGAACTTATTACTATTGTTATCTTTTTATGTAATCATTGAGCTTTTTACTTAATTTTTGTAGGGGCTACATGCTCTTTTTACTGGAGAGGATGATACAAGGGAGGCTTGGCTATATATTAGCTATCTGGATTTGGTAGCATGGTTAGTTTTGGAGTGACTGGACTTAAGTTAAGGTGTGGGTATGCTCGATCACAATCAACAAAAATATCACAAGTATTATTTTTCAGCAAGTTTTTTACATCAATGAATAATTGATCATTTGAATCATATTTTGAAATAATATGTCCAATATTCGTTATTTTATATGTTCAACAGCAGAATAACAGAAGACATACATTCGAGTTTGAACAAATGCCAAAATTTCCAACTTGTACATGAAATGCACAAATTTTATATTTTTGCATTTCACATGTTTATTTGTGCTGTTTACATATGTAGTGACGCATTTTGTCTTCTAAATCATCATCTATATGTTAGATTCTCAACCTGCACATGAAATGTTTAAATTATAACATGAAACTCACAAATGTTTCATTACTTGTATTTGACTTTATTTAGTTACTTGTGCATTCTGATGTTTATTCATTTGTTTATGTTGTTATGATTTCCATTTGTGCTTTAATAAACAAAATTAAGATGCTATAATAAACAAATCAACGAAATCTCTAAATATTATTAAAAGAGAAACCTTATGACATCCTCTTAAATAATATGGACCCTTGATTGTATTTCAATCTTATTTTTTCCACCCTTAGATCATATTGCTGACATCATCTTCCCCATATGGAATATATTTAATTCCAATAAATGATTTCCAATCGTCAAACAATAACTTACATTCGTTGAAATTGAATGTATTTAATTCCAATAAAAGTTTTCCATATTTTAAATCTTGAATTTCCGGTTATGAAGATTTTAATATGGTCAATTTTAAAAGCATATTACTAACAAACCATTTCAATCAAGGCATTAATATCAACCATTAATATAAATCCGTTTATATTAGTAAACCATTAATATAAAATCTATTTTTATTAGGAAATCATTGATACCAAAAAATCATATTCAAATTATCACATACATATACGATTCATCATTGAATCCGCGGCTCACACTTATTTTCAATCGTTTCTTTTCTTCAAACCTTCTCCTACAACATCATTCTTATTGCTTATAACTTCCATCATCATTCGCTGCTTCAAACATTCGCTCTTGTGCACTAGAAGGTCAGTACCTTCTTTCGCTTTTTATATTTTTTTCGATTATTTTTTTGTTCCTATATCAAATATATGTATTCATATATTTCGATTTTCTTTGTCACAAATTACATGAAATCAGTTAACTACTTTTCTGAAACTTTTCAAATAAACAGGAAAGGATATTACGTACCTTTAACAAAACATAAATTAACTATCTTGGGAACTGACATTAATTACGAAAATGTTACTTTTATATATTAGAGACGATTATGATTTTTTTTTAATTTTAATGTCATAAGAATCCGATTAATTTTGGCATGATTTTAAAATATCATTGAAATTATTATGTTTTTGTATATCATAACAACCTACTTTTTTATCTTTATATAGTAACAATAAAATTTATAAATTTACACAACAAATATACATATTTCGAATTTTGTAATATTATTATACCTTACAAAATACAACTCCCTCCAAAATAACTTTCACCATTAATTTCATCCATAATTTCACCAAATTTAAATTTGTATTTTCTTTATATAAAACTTTTTAATGATTCTGATTTTTTTTCCTCCAAAAGTATATCAAGCATTTACGTCTTAGATAATGCTGCTCCATTATAATTATTACTTTCCAAAAATATATCCGTTTAATGAGGAATTTGATTTAATGAAGGAAGTAAATGTTAATTAAAACGAGATATATATTCCATAATTATTACACGGGTTTATTAAAAAAATTATATCAATGTGTAAACATTAAGCATTTTTCAAGTGAAATTTTAGAATACATACAAACGATGATGTTGTACAATGAAATATAAAATCGAATAGACTGAAAAAAAAACTATTAAGACAGTTAATCTTGAAAATAACATAGTTATGAAAAATTATAAAGTAATAAAAATTATAAGATATTAGGAGATTTGTAAAAAGTACAATTAGTAAAAGCGTTACGATTATTAGAAAAAAATAAGACCGTTAAGATTAGTAAAAATACAATATATAAACTAAATTATCACAATAGTAATTAATTGTAATTATTTGATATTTCATATAATTGAAAGATATACCAAAATTACATTGATGATATACTAAAATTATTCAAAGTTGCGTCAAAACTAATGCAAAGTTCTTACGAACACCAAATAAATAAGAACAAACATAAATGTAGCACTTATATTCATAATCAATTTAAAATAAACCAATCATGATTTAGAAAAGAATCTCCATTAATGATATACTAAAAGTAAATCCATATAACATTAAAGATTCTATAAATTATATTATATGATTTTATTTGAATAAATGAAATAGTTGTCAATATTTAATGCAGTGGAAAAAATGGTATATTGGTTGTCAATATATGTTTAAATTAGGTAACCTTATTATGGAAGGAACGTCTAACTAAAATGCTTATAATTATATAACAATATCATAACTATATGAGACGAGAAATGTCGTTCAACTAATAAAACAAAAAATGTTGTCTACAAAGAGGTCCTTCAATGATTATAGATATTTATCGTTTTCAATGTATTTTATACACATTTCAATAATACCAATAACAATATATTTTTTTTATAATCATTATGCAATATCTGTAGACAATTATATGTTTTTTATGTGTTTCCCGCGTTTAACGCGGGCTATAATCTAGTTACATTGTAATTTCTTGCATTTAAACTGAAACTTTTATATCATACTTGATAACTTGTGTTAATAGGATGAGTTACGCCAGAAGAAAGAGGAAGAAATGGATGATTACAGCTCACAAGTAAAACTCATGGCATTTTACTCAGCTTCATGTTCACATATATATCTTATACATGAATACAAGCCACTCTAATTTGTTATTTATTTATTTTTATTTAAATTGTCCCTGTTTTCATGGATCAACATTAGCACTGATGTAGATCGCAATACCAAGACTTTTACTGGTTTGGAAAAATTTTCAAACAATAGAAAAGATAATTGTGAATAAACTAATCAGAGAGATTATGGAAGTCGATTTAATATCCCTTTAAATCAAGGTACCTCCAAAATGTCTGTTTTATCCTTTTTGACCTTTTGATCTTTTCATTTCATTTGAAGAACATTAAACTGATTTTTTTTACTTATAAACAGCATACATGAGATTTTTCCCGAGGTTTCCTTAAAGTTTGCTGGTGGTGCTTCCATGATTCTTAAACCTGAGAACTACCTTGTACATGTGGATCCTGTTGTGAGTGTTCTTTAATTGTCTCAAAATTTACATTTTTTATACAAATTTATGAGTGGGTCAAAGATCGGGTAACAAAAAGTTTGACTTTTTTTCACGTGTGGTTAGGATGGAGGTACACCATGGTGTATTGGCTTTCCGAGAGTCCAAAATGGTGTGTCAATTCTTGGAGGTTAGTTAAAATATAGTAAATGACAATTTTACCATCAAGACTCCACTTATTGTATAGACTTCTTTTTATTTTTTTTTATTCTTGTGGCGTTTTATAATTGAGACAAAATTCAATGAAAATGTTAACATTGGTTTTAAAATTTAATTAACTCTTCTATTTTTGCAAAAGGACCAAAATATCCTTATCATCTATCTTTAAATAAGACACTGGTTTATTAAATTTATTAATTTTTTATTTCATTTCATTTCAAGAACATTTAACTGAGCTTTTTTTTGACTTATAAACAGCATAAATGGGATTTTTCCTAACGTTTCCTTAACCTTTGCTGGTGGTGCTTCCATGATTCATATACCTGAGAACTATAACCTTGATAACCAATGAACCATTGTTGATACAGGAACAAATTTGACATACTTTGTTGCAATTTCTCTAAAAAAAACATTTGAATTTTGTGTTTGTTTTTTCATCTTGATTGAAGATAACTGTTGCTGTTTCACAATTAATAACACATGTCATCTCAAAGGGGACTCAATGTTATTTAGTTACATCAAGGTACCTTCAAATTGTTTGTTTTATCCTTTTTGACCTTTTGATCTTTTCATTTCATTTCAAGAACATTTAACTAATCTTCTTTTTTTTTTTTTTTTTTTTTTTTTTTTTTTTTTGCTTATAAACAGCATAAATGAGATTTTTCCTGAGGTTTCCTTAAAGTTTGCTGGTGGTGCTTCTATGAATCTTAAACCATAGAACTATCTTGTACATGTGTATCCTGTTGTGAGTGTTCTTTAATTGTCTCAAAATTTAAATTTCTTATACAAATTTATGAGTGGGTCAAAGATCGGGTAACAAAAAGTTTGACTTTTTTCACATGTGGTTAGGATGGAGGTATAAGATGGTGTATTGGCTTTCATAGAGTCCAGAATGGTGTGTCAATTCTTGGAGGTTAGTTAAAATATAGTAAATGACACTTTTACCCTCAAGACTCCACTTATTGTATCGACTTATTTTTATTTTTTTTATTCTTGTGGCGTTTCATAATTGAGACAAAAGTCAATGAAAATGTTGACATTGGTTTTAAAATTCAATCAACTCTTCTGTTTTTGAAAAAAAACAAAATACCCTTATCATCTATTTTAAATAAGACACCAGTTTATTAATTTTTTATTAATTTGTTTTATATTTTCATATTTATTGAAATCTTACATGTTTATGATTCAGAACAAACAAAACGGATTATTTGGATCTGCATTTGTGCGCACCGAGGTTCATGTGGATGATCCTGTGGGAGAGTCAAGGCGAATTGCATGCCAAAAGTGAAACAGTTTTCATATGTGGTTTTACACCAAAAAGACCAAATCTATAGCCAAATCCTGCCTGATATCATTTTTTTTATTCTCACCACAAAAGTTAAAATAAACCCTTCACATAAACCATTATGCGCTAACTGCATAATATAGCAATTTACTTTATATTTTTTCCCTTATCATAGCATCGTGCTTTTGTTTTTCTTATTATAGCATTGTATTTCGAAAACTCAACCCATTTATAGCAATGGGTAACCACCTACATGTACCTGTCATTCCATTATTTGTTTTGCTGACATAACACATTTAAGGATGACATGGTGGAAAGACATCCTATGTGGACAATGATATTACATAAAAACCTATCACCTTGTGCCATGTCATTATGTTTCAAATTAGCATGTTCCTCATTGCAATCTATTTTTGTAATTATATTTCATATTTATTGAAATCTTATATATTTATTATATATTTTTTTTCTTATCCAACAAAATTTTCAAATTTACAGTTTTTTTATATGGTAATTATTATCTTAAATTAGGTATGAATTTATCTATTTTTGTAATTATATTTGACATGTTATATTGATCTTATTTTCGATATTATACCATACATAAGACATATTTTAAATATGGAAATGATGTTACATTCCAAAATCTTTATGTCATATCAACATTAACCAATTTTCTATTTTCCTATAAATATAGGGTCTACGATTTTTCATTCCAAATCAATTTTCTCTCTAACTAACAATGCGGATCAAGTCGTGTTTGATAAGGTTGCTGAAATCGATGCATCCAAAGATTCTTGGAACATACGTGTTAAAGTCGTATTGCTTTGGAAGCAAACCTATAAAAACAATCCTAAAATGGTCGGGAGCCTAGACATGATTTTAATTGACCAGCAGATACTGTTTCTACAAACTTTATTATTTAATTGACCATGTGTATGTCGATTTCTTGGAAGATTAAATGTGTCATGTTTCTACAAACTTTATTATTTATATTGTCAAATTCTTATGTTATTACTTCAAATTTTATGTATTTTTTCTTGAAAAGGGTATTCAAATTGCTTCAAAATGTGGTAGAAAAATATGGATTTCAATCGATTTCTATTCTTTTGTTTTATTTCTATTCAAATAATTTTAATAATCAACTTTATTAATTTTAATAATCAACTTTAGTCTATGCAATGAATCTCTTATTATTCCTCTCTTTTGCATCCATCTAATAAATTTACAATTCTTAAAATTCTGGTGATTTTAGTTTTCGATCCTTTCACTCAATATTATTTTTATATAGCTTTATTAAATTTAATAATCAACTAAATATGTCGATTTCTTCTTATTATTAATTGTGTCATGTTTCTACAAACTTTATTATTTAGATTGTCAAAATTTTATGTTATTACTTCAAATTTTATGTATTTTTGCATAAAAAATGTATTCTAATTGCTTCAAATATGTGGCAGAAAAATATGGATGTTAATCGATTTTAGTTCTTCTGTTTTATTTCTATTTTATTAAAATTTTTGATACTTTTTCTTTAAATTTTATTTCCATTTTATTAATTTTTAATAAACAATATTATTTTTATGTATTTTTATTAATTTTAATAATCAACTTTAGTTTATGCAATGAATCTGTTATTATTCCTCTCTTTTGCATCCATTTGATAAATTTACAATTCTTAAAAATCTAGTTTTGTAGTTCCCGATCCTTTCACTCATTTACTATCACTTTCTCAATTAGCATATGTATGTTGATTTCTTGGAAGATTAAATGTGTCATGTTTCTACAAACTCATAAGAAGAGTTTTTTCATAAAAATTGCAAAGAAATCTCACAAAAACTAGGAAAATTAAGGGAAAAAAACACGACTTTACGTTAAATAAATGTCACAATAGAGATCCTAAGCAAATATAAAAACCTACAAAATTAAGGACAAAAACTCGTGATTTTGCTCTTTTAGAACCTACCGTCGTCGGTCTTTAAGGTTCTTTTCCTCCTCATCTTTACTCTCTGCTTGACATCAAACCTCCGTCGATCTCTACGCTTCTTCTCCGGTCGACGACACCGATCACTACCTCAACATCTAGTTCACTGCTTGCCTTAAAATCCTGAAGACTCTTTTTCCCACACATGTGTGTAATTCTCTTGGGTAAAAACTAAAAAGTAGATCTTTAAATTTCTTGACTTATCGGTCCCAATTTCCCATTCGTTTTGATAGCTGTAAACCTTAAACTAAAACTTACGACTACTTGTTGATTTTTTATGAATATTTTATTGTTGTTTGAATTACTTGTTATAATATTGCTACTCATTAATTGTAAATGTCACTTGTAAAAGAAAATCAGCAGCTGTGAGATGTGAAGTGACTACTTGTTGATTTTTTATGAATATTTTATTGTTGTTTGAATTACTTGTTATAATATTGCTACTCATCAATTGTAATGTCACTTGTAAAAGAAAATCAACAGCTGTGAGATGTGAAGTCATAACTCATTCGTATATATTAATTGAAACCTAATACCAATTTTTATTTTACTAATCTTGTTATGCTATGTTAGGATTAAAACATTTTTGTATTAAACATTTTATTGAATTATTTGTTGTTATTTTGGTATTGGCACAGTTAATAAAAATACATAATTCTTGGATTTGAGATGATATTAATTTATATAAAGTGCAACAACTGTTAAAAAATTTTAAATGTACATTATTGTGAAACAATTAATTGTGTTTATGGTCATTTGAAAACTTCTAATAATCAACGTTTATAAAGATATATTTTATCATGTTATTTGGATATAAAATACATTATAGTATTTTATTATGATATAAGCCCCCTTTATTATGATTTTGAATTGTACCTGTTTTTCCTATTTTACCTGTTCTATATTATTTAGTTGAGTCACATGTATTAATAATGATTAGTTTTTTCACAAACAGAAACATGGCGCAAAGTACATCTGCTTATTGTAACAATGCTTCGTCCTTCATCATCTACTCTGAAAATGACGATTTTCTTCATAACTTTGATTTCCATGCTATTGCTGATCTCTAACAAGTAGATGAGGTTTTATATACTTAAATTGCATTTATGAAATATATATTATATCAAATAGTTTTTGGATTATTTTTACCCTCATATTTTATTTTACTTTTTTTATCATATAATTTAAAGTTACATTAATATTTTACAGGAAAAAACATTGATTGTTGTCGGTATGATTAAGCATGTGTGTGCTGATGTGAAATGGTACTATTTTGCTTGTACTAAATGGCAACAGAAAGCTATAAAAGTCGTTTTAATGCATGAGGATCAACTTCAAGATAAATAAGTTTTTTATTGTTATAGTTCAACTTGCATGAACAAAGAGATATCTGTTGTTTCATGGTTTTCAATAGTTCTTTTATACATATTATTATAATCTTCGGTTAAACTTTCTAAGTTTATATTAATGAATTTGTTTATATCAATGGTTTTAGTTTCAAAATCACTATTAGAGTACAAGACTTTACCGGTTTGGTGTCACTTACGTTATTTGATCGTGACGCAAAGATACTTCTTGAAAAAACTGCAGAAGAGTTGCTTGAAATTTTTAATGAGGTTATTGATATTAGCTTTATTTACACAAAACTAATTTTAAATTTTTGTCTATCTATTTTTATAACCGTTCATTTTTTATGAGGGTAATATGAATATTTATCCATCTGCTTTGAATGTACTTTTGGATAAAAAGTTGACGTTCAAAATTCAAAATTCAGATGATAATTTGAAGAACAAACTTTATGGTTATGAAATCATAAAGTTCACTGCTGATAATACAATCATTGCTCAATTGGAAAAAAAATTAACAAGGTAACATATGAATTTATTTCTACATTTAGAATTTATTTCTACATTAATGATGCTCTTTTTGCTTATTGTTTTTTTGTTGTACAATTCTTATCATTGGACTCTAAGATGATTATTGAGGATAAAATCAAACGTACTATCTTACCAACACCGAATCATTTGAGATTGTTACCGCCAACAATTACTTCGGTCAAGCAATCTATTAAGATTGATACCACCACTGAATCATTTGAATGGTCTTCTTCGAAAGATGGTGTTGCTGCTCCTTCTTTGAAGATCCAAAAAATGGAAAAACTCGAATAAGTTTAAGTCATTCATCGATATTTGACATTTTAGTTTGAAGACTTTTTTTATTAGTTTTTATTGTTTACTTATGGATTTGTTTGACAAGTAATTTGTTTTGATTTAAAAGTTTACGTTTATTTTCATCTGTTTCCCATAAATTTTCTGTTTTCAATTATTATGTGTTCCCCCGCGTTTAAAGCGGGTTATAATTACATAATAATTGGTAACCAACTTTAATAATCCGTAATTAGGATTTATCCATTGAGAAAAGGTGGATTCGAACTAAATGAAAGTGTTTT